CAGGGATGGGGGCACCAGCAGGGATGGGCAGGGGTGGGGGCAATATCAGGGATGGGGGCACCGGTGGGGAAATGGGGACATGGGTGTGGAGTAGAGGAGACATGGGCAGGAAGTGAGGGGGACATGGACAGGGCTGGGCATGGGTGGGGAGTGGGGGGACACAGGCAGGGCTGGGGACATGAGCAGGGCTGGACACAGGGAGTGAGGAGGACACGGGGAAGGAACAGGGGGACACAACCAGGGCTGGGGACATGGGCAGGGAACTGGGGGGGACACGGGCAGGGAACTGGGCATGGCGGGGAGTGATGGGGACACAGGGAAGGAGCAGGGGGACACAGGCAGGGAATTTGGGGGGACGCAGACGGGGAATTTGGGTGAACACAGACAGGGAATTCCGGGGGACACAGACGGGGAATTCGGGGGCACGCAGGCAGGGAATTCGGGGGGCACATGGCTGAAATACCAGCAGGGCTGGGGGAACGCAGGCAGGGTGCAGAGCAAAGCATGGCCATGGAAAAACCCAAGAGCACAGAGTCCCAGCCCTGGCCCAAAGCACTTCTTCCCAGCCCAAAGCACTGAGTGCCACAGCCAGGGATCCCCTGGACACTCCAGGGATGGGGTCTCCACCACCTCTCCCTGGGCGAGCCCTGCCAAGGCCTGAGCACGCTTTACAAGAATTAATTTCCTCCCGATGTCCAACCTGAACTCCTGGCACAGCCTGAGGCCATGTCCCCTCATCCCATGACCAGCCCTCCCTCCCCACCCCATCAGCTGTCCAGACCCGGATTAGCTCCCCCAAAAACACAATCCCCCCCAGAGCTGCTGCTCCCCACCACAGGGACGAGCTGGAGCCGTGCTGGGGACAGCAGTGACACCACGGGTACCCACCCAGGGGGTCCATGCCGCTGGGTTTGCCAGGCATGGGCCGCAGCCCCGGGGTGCTGCTGGTGCCCGGGGTGGGAGCGTCGTTCCTGGGCGTCGGAGTGTTGGACTTGAGGCCGGGCGTGGAGGATTTGTCGTTCTGGGGTGGGGAGAGAAGGGATGGAGAAGGAGGGATGAGCTGCAGCTGCAGGGACACGCCGCCCTGCCCGCCCCGGGAGCCCCGGGAGGGACGTACGTGGCCCAGGTCCTTGGTCTTGGAGGAGGGAGTGCTGCTGGAGGAGGCCACCGAGGCCGGGCTGTTGGGAGCATCGCCTTTCTTCAGCCCGCGGGCTTTGTCCAGCCCGTTCTCCGGCGGGGAATGGGCCGGGCTCACCCGGGGGGTGGCGGGGTCCTGAGGGACGGGAAAAGCAGTGCAGAATTCCCACAGTGGGAAGGAAGGGATCCCTCCAGCCTCCCCTCCGGGCTGGTCCCTAAGGAATCGCCTCCCACGTCCCGATCCCGCAGCTCACCTCGTTGGAGACGTCCACCACCAGGTCGTCGCTCTTGTCACCATCGCTGTCCTGGAACACAAAACGTGTCACACCCTGCAGGGAGCCCCAAAAACTGGGGGGGGATCAGCCCCCCGAGGAGCCAAACCACCAGCAGCAGGAGGGCACTCGGGCTGGAGATCAGGGCAAATTCTTTCACGGAAAAGGTGCTCAGGAAAAGGAAACGGAAAACGGAAAAGGGGCTGGGAAAGGACAAGGAAATGGGGCTGCCCAGGGCAGGGCTGCAGCCAGCCAGGGGAGCGGATGTGGCACTTGGGGACACGGATCATGGTGGCCTTGGCAGCGTGGGGGATGCTTGGACCCCGCGGTCTCTCCGGGTTCCCTGTCACATCTGGACAGCACCACCTGAAATCCCAGATGCTGCCCCCCAGGTGTCCCCGTGAGCGTCCCTGTCACTCACATATCGGCTCATGCTGTCCTTCTCCTCTGCTTTCCTCTTCTTGGAGTCCATGCTGTAATCCGTGGAGCTCCGGTGCTTCTCGCTGGCCCGCAGGCTCTCCGAGGGGGACACGGAATTATTCTGGGGGCGGGGGGGGGAGAAGCTTTGAGGGGGGAGCGGGAGAACTCTGGGTTTGGTTTGGGGTCTTGAGTGGGGGTAAAGTCTTTCCTCTAACTCGTGCTCTTAAAGGAAAACTCTGCAGTTTCTTGTTGTTGGGTCTCAAGATGATTAATTGCTAGTTATTTAACAGATTGTGTTCTCGGGCTGTGGCTGTTTGATCAGCGGCCCAGGCAGGGATGCACACACTCCTGACACCCTCTCTGTCTGCTGTCTTCTTCTCTCTCCCCACCCAGGGCTGCTGCTATCTTTTACGTGATATATTACGTATTACATGTTTACAGTTATTCCCTAATACTTATTACTTATATTACAAAGTGCTTTTCTACTCTAAACCAATCTGTGAGTGCCAACATCACCAAGAACATGGAGGTGAGGAAGAAGAAGGAGGAAGAACAGGATCAGCCCACTTTCCTCCATCTTAGAACTTCTGACCCCCATGTACAAAGTAAAAACCCCCCTGTACAGGTGCTAAAACCCCCCTGTACAATACTAAAAAAATTTTCCCTCTACTTTGTAATTACTTTTACTATCCCATCTAATCCTTTGTGACTGCTTGTTCCACCTTCAGTTGGTAACTCATTCCATGGCTCAAACTCAAAATTACAGCTGTTTGCAGCTGCCTGCCAGGCTCTAGAATGCTTCTGACCAAGGCCTGGAACCTCCAAAAATGTCTGAGAGACATTCTGAGCTCCCCCAGGGGAGCAGAAGGGAACAGGGCCCCACGAGCAGCAGATCCCGAGGGGACCCAGCAGGGATGAGAGCCCCCGGTCCCCTCCGTGTGTCACGGGATCCAGGGGACAAACCAACACCAGCCTCGCCGGGAATGCTGTGAGGATGCCCATGGACACCTGAGCTCCTTGCTGCAAGAGCAGCAAAGTGCAGGAGGAGGTTGTTGACAGAAACACCTGGGAGAGACCACACGGCCGGAATGGCCGAGCCAGCGCCCACGGCACAGCTCTGCTCCCTGGGAACGCTGTCCTTGCCTCAAGAGCCAAGCCCGGGACACGCTGGCATTCCCAGGAGAGCCCCAGAGCCCCCAGCCAGGAGGAGCAGCTGCATCCCGGCCCCGGAGCCAAAGGACATCCACAAAATGTCCTGGAAAACCCACGCCACCAGGAGCGCCAGGGGCACGGGGGCCATTCCGACCTGGCTCCAGACAGCAGAGCCCAGGAGAGGCCGGCATTCCTGGGAAATGCTGGAGGAAAATGGCAGCACAGCGAGGAGGGTGCCTGGCCCCAGTCCTGCACCCCCCTGCACATTCCCTGCCCTCGTTCCCTGGGAGCAGCAGGATCCATCCCTGCCCATTCCCTGGGAGCAGCAGAATCCATCCCTGCACAATCCCTGGGAGCAGCAGGATCCATCCCTCACAATCCCTGGAAGCAGCAAGATCCATCCCTGCACAATCCCTGGGATCAGCAGGATCCATCCCTGCCCAATCCCTGGGAGCAGCAGGATCCATCCCTCACAATCCCTGGAAGCAGCAAGATCCATCCCTGCACAATCCCTGGGAGCAGCAGGATCCATCCCTGCCCAATCCCTGGGAGCAGCAGGATCCATCCCTGCCCAATCCCTGGGAGCAGCAGGATCCATCCCTGCTCCCTCCCCAGGGACAGATCCAGCCCCACTCCCTCTCCTCATTCCCTGGGATCAGCAGGATCCATCCCTGCACAATCCCTGGGAGCAGCAGGATCCATCCCTGCTCTCTCCCCAGGGATGGATCCATCCCTGCTCCCTCTCCTCATTCCCTGGAATCAGCAGGATCCATCCCTGCCCCTTCCCTTCCCTCATTCCCTGGGATCAGCAGGATCCATCCCTGCCCATTCCCTCTCGCTCATTCCCTGGGATCAGCAGGATCCATCCCTGCCCATTCCCTCTCCCCATTCCCCGGGATCAGCAGGATCCATCCCTGCTCCCTGCCCTCATTCCCCGGGATCAGCAGGATCCAATCCCTGCCCATTCCCCGGGATCAGCAGGATCCATCCCTGCCCATTCCCCGGGATCAGCAGGATCCATCCCTGCCCATTCCCTCTCCCCATTCCCCAGGATCAGCAGGATCCAATCCCTGCCCTTTCCCCGGGATCAGCAGGATCCGTGCCCGCTCCCTGCCCTCATTCCCCGGGATCAGCAGGATCCATGCCCGCTCCCTGCCCTCATTCCCTGGAATCAGCAGGATCCATGCCCGCTCCCTGCCCTCATTCCCCGGGATCAGCAGGATCCGTGCCCGCTCCCTGCCAAGGGCCGGATCCAGCCCCGCCGCTGCCGAGCCGTGCCGCCTCCGTGGCCGGGCTGAAAGGGAGAAGCGGAGCAGCTCGTGTTCTGCCCGGTGCCCNAGGGCCGGATCCAGCCCCGCCGCTGCCGAGCCGTGCCGCCTCCGTGGCCGGGCTGAAAGGGAGAAGCGGAGCAGCTCGTGTTCTGCCCGGTGCCCGCTAAGCAGCTCCGGCTAACACGGAGCCCTTTCTTCCCAGGCAGTCATGCTGAAAACCCTCGCAGCTCCCAGAGAATCATGTCAGGCATTTAGAGGCATCGATCCATTCAGCCCCGCTCCTGGCCCGCCGCCAAGCAACTAAATATTTTTTATTGCACGGGCAAAGGCTGGGGAAAATATGAATGACTAACGCTGATTATCGCCCGCATTAAACCTCCACGGGGAATACCCCGGCTCGCACTTGATGGATTGGGAAGCTGCCCGGCCCCGCCGGCCCCTGCCCGCCCCGGGAGCGGGTTAATGATGCCCAATTCCCCGCTGGCTCTCCCCCCTCGCACGGCACTTCCCTTCCCCGCTCTCCGAGGGGCCGTTGTGGGCTCGGGGCTGGCAGGAAACCGCTGCCAAGCCGCAGCTCGGCTGCCGGGTCCTGGCAGCTTTTCACACGGAATCCGGGCTGGGGAAAAGAGCTGGGCAC